TAAACATAAGCCAATAAACGTGCATATTGTCGGCCATTTTTATTCTTTTGGGAGCTTCTTATATCTGTTGTTGTTTTTGTTTCCATCCAATCAGCAAGCCCGGTCGCAGGGCACCATCATGTTCAAGGTGGTCCCCATCACAGAGAGGCCGGTCCACAACCAGACCATGGTGAGTCTTCCTTCCTCTCCCGCATCTTTTCCACATCCTGACTTCGCAATGACCCGCCGTGTCGTCTGCTAGCTGTACGTCCGAGCCATGGCCGACTACAGCCCTCAGCAGGACCCGGCCATCCCCTGCGCCGACGCCGGCATGAGCTTCCGGAAAGGCGACGTCCTGGAGATCGTGGACCAGACGGACGCCCTCTGGTGGCAGGCCAAGAAGCTGCCCAGCAACACCGCCTGCGCTGGCCTCATCCCGTCCACCAACCTGCTCAAACGGTTCGTCAGAGACACTTTTAATTTAATTTTTGTGGAGTAGCAGTGGTTCTTTGAATTTAATAGATGGTCAGTTGTGCGGTGGCAAATGACATGAAGCAGAAATGCAAAAAGGAAACGCTGCATATCTCGTCATAGTGCAGCAGTGCCCCAGGCCTCTAGGGGCAGTAGTGAGCTGTTCATCTGAGAGGCAGACAACAGTGAGAGAGACAAGTAATCTTACTTGAAGGAAAAGCTATAAAAAAGTTTGTATTCTCTCGTTTCCATGGACAAACATAGGCCGAGTTTACACGTAGCAAAAACTGTGATATTTTAATGCATTTGGGCCTTTGGGTCACAAGTCACCGAAAACAATAATTTCTGAAAACTCCAGCCAAAGTGGAGATTTTGAAAAACTCCATCTTTACGTTTGCATGTAGAGACGAGGAGACGGAGTTTGACGACGCAGTTTGTGACAAAAGCGTCATATGTGTGCGACCATGTTTGGCTGCTGTGATAGAAATGGATGCTGTTTTACATGCTAGCATGGCTTTATGCTTCTTGTTACACTGCCCCCTATAGGTGTGGCAGCTCATAGCAGCTCTTAACGATGTCTTCATGTAGGTTTGTGTAAATGAAGATTTTTTTTAAAACGATCTGGTGTGAACAATGTTATTTTTGAAAACGTAGATCCATTTTTGTAAATTCTGGCTACGTGTAAACGTGGCCGTAAATAACAGAGAGAACACAGGGAGATGGTAGTAAAAACACCACTTCAGCACCTTTATAATCACAGTGACTGGAAACCTAAAGACTTCCGTTGTGTGTCTGTATTTACAGCACGTTTCTGTTTATGCAACCTGTTCATGTGTATGCAGCTCGTTTGTGTTTACGCACGTCGTTTGCCATCGTACAGTCGTGTTTGATTCATCATGCGTCACCAGGATGTTAATTTAAACAAATACAGCTGGTTGTTCATGCTTCAACTGGACAGATTTTTACAGTTGCCTTAAAAACTGACAGAATCTGGACTGAATTTAGAAACTTCCTGTTCTGATGATGAATCTGACCACTGACAGTATTTATAAGTCCCTTATTTTTCCACTTTTTTAAATCAAAGTATCAAAAGTCTTACAATATGTCGCCTCAGAAACACCACGAAGATGGTTTATTGCTCTTTAGCTGCATCCTTCCTGGTTCTAAATGGGCTGCTTCAGTTTAACTTTACATGCAGCTCACCTGCTGCTGCTGGCCCCGCCCCCTTCAGGAAGGAGACTCTCTCTGGAAACACCTGACAAAGACCTAAATACTTGTGTCAGTTTATGTCGTCTGACTTTCTCTCTGCACTGTAAAAATAAATAAAAATAAAAATACAAAAAAATGTAAGAATACTGTAGCTTTCAAAAACTGTAAGAAATAAGAGCAAATATTTGCTAAAATACAGTCAAAAAAATATACAAAAATGTGTAATTTTACAGTAAAATGATCAAAAAGAATAAAATCCTAATAGTTTTTATTTTACACTTTCATTAAACAAAACAGAATCAAAGTTATTTTCATCATGTGGGACCTTTAAAAGTGAATCTGTGGCATTTTTAATCAAATTAAAGGTTTGCAAAGAACTTCAAATAACACAAAAATGTCTTAGTTTAAAGTAGAGGAACGTTTTTATTCATTAAAGTTGTTTAAATTAAAACTATTTCGATGTGTGAAGTTTAAAAAATCTGCCGTTTTCCTATAAACTGAGTACATTTGGACCTTGTACATTCCTTCATGCTGAACCCGGTTCTGCTGGTCCCGACAGGAAGCAGAGGGAGTTCTGGTGGTCGCAGCCTTACCAGCCTCACGCCTGCATCCAGACCCGTGAGTCCAAACACGTTTAGTCGAATCACCTCAAAACTTTCTGGCCTCCGTGCAGCTTGACAGACGAGTTTTCTTTGTGTTTTTGCTGCACGTTGACTGAAGTGAGCACAGTGGAGGAAGGTAAGGACGGATCCGACACTCAGGCCGCCACACATTCACACGTTGAGCTTCGGTTTTATGGGAGGTTTGACTTTTTGTTCGCCCACAGAGGAAGACCTGATGGCCATCGATGAGAAATGTGTGGAAGCAGGTAAAGATGAGCCGCTCTGTCCACACGCTTCATCCATCAAGTGTTTCTGTGTTTAACTCCCTGTTTGTGTGTTTGGTGCAGACGAGGAGGCGTTTGAATCTGGTAGGTAAGTCTTTGTGGCTTCCATCCGTTTTGTCTCTGGACTCGTGGCTCTGGTTCCCGTCCTTCATCGGTTTCTCTTCTTGTTGTTTCTTTTCTGGATTTTCCTGCCGCCAGAGGAGCTCAGAGAAGGTGAGAAGAGCTCAGATGTTTGAATGACACAATCAGATTATTAACAGATAAATAACGTTGGGATGAAGTTTTCTTTCTCAACTCGTCTGAAAGTCTTTAAATTGACCAATGCATGTAAATAAAAGCTTTTCGAGGCTTCTGCTGAGTCTAGAATTTGTGCATTCGAGGCATCAGTTTGCATTAGTTTCTATCTAATCGTGCTTTTTCTCTGCCTCCGTCCGACCAGAGGAGGATGACTTCAGCAGCAACATTGAAGGCGTTTATTTAGGTGAGTCTGCAGCAGCGAAGCTCAAACATCATTCCTCTTGTTTTGATGTTATTTTTGCATTCTGGTGAATCTTTCTGTGTCAATTTAATTTTCTGCATCAGTTTAGGGTGGAAATGGGCGACAAATGTTCTGAACTGAATGTGAATCATTTATATTTAAATTCCTGAATTAAATAACTGAATTTGTCCCATTTAATGTCAACAATTGCCAAAAAAAAAAAAAAAAGTTAATTTAAAATTGAATTCAGCTGTTTGGTTTTCAAAATAAAAATTTAGGGCAAGAAATTGATTTAGAATTCTGTGACTTCAATAATCGTATGAAAAATTTGAATAATTTGTCTTTTAATTTTTATTTCTCAACCTTAATAATTTAATTTGTGTTAACTTGAATCATTTATTTATTTTGAAATTGGATTTATGTGACTAAAATTGACTTCAGCTGCTCTGAAATTATATTTGATCATGTTTGATTTTGAAAGTTAAAATTCAGTGCAAGAAATTGAATTTCAATTCCGTGACTTGAATATTTGTATTAAAAAAATTTGAAGAATTTGAATTCCTCAACTTTAATAATTGAATTTGTGTCATTTAATGTGAAAAATTGCAACGAAAATTGAATTTATCAAACTGAAATTGAATTCAGTTGCTGTGAAATTGCATTTAATCGTCACTGAAAGTTCAACTCTCTGTGCTTCCATTTTAAAAATTCAGGGCAGTAAGTTGAATTTATTAGATTAAAATTAAAATCAGTTGCTCTGAAAATTCAGCCGCCTCTTTGCTTCCAGGTCCGTGTATGTTTTGGTTTGTTGGATTTTCTGTTCAGAAAAATTGTTAAAAAACCAAAAATGAGTGTTTATTTGATTATTATTTTAAAATTCAAACATTTAACTTTACATTTTAGGCTTTTTTCTTTATCAGGGTCAAGAAGAGATAAAGAAAACTTTAAAAACTGGTTTTTTGATTTTCTGTTTCCAAAAACAAAAAATAACATCATTAGAAGACAGAAACAAAAAAAATAAACCCTGTTTTATCATATTATATTTCATTTTTTCATATTTTCGCACCAGCTTTCAAAATTTAAATCTGGGGCAGTAAATTGAATTTGAAACACAAGAACTGAATTTGAATTTTTTGAAGTGAATATGAAGACCTAGAGGGCAGAACATTAGTGAGCATCACATTCAGCTTCAGCAAATTCAAATTAGGATTCAAATTCTATTTCTTTGTTGCCATTATTCAAGTCAAAGACTAAAAATTCAAATAAATGTGACACAAACTCCTCTGTTAATACAGTTAAGCCAGTTCATGGTGGCACACATTCAGCATTTTGTATTGTTCAGTGTTTGTTGGTGGATAACGTCCTCTTTGTTTCCTCAGCGGGCTTCAGGCGCAGCATGCGTCTGTGCCGGCGGCGCTCCCACAGCACCACCCAGCCGTCCTGCCACACCCGCTGCCCCAGCAGCTGCTACAGCGCCCTCAACAGCCCCTATGAGGAGGTGGTCCGCCACCAGCGCCACCCAGAGGACGCTCACCGCCTCGTCGCCCTGCTGGGTAAAAGAAAGGCTTCAGTTTGGGCGCTGCTGGTTTGGAAGTGAAATGATCCAACCGGCCTGTTAGAGCGACTCTTACATCTGATATTTCTTCTCCAACATGTGGAGAGAGACGATTATTATTATTATCATCAGAGTGAGGAAGTTAGTTTAAGAAACACAAACTCCCTTGAACTCATCATGTGTGACGCACAGTCTTTTTTTAGTAAGACTAGTATTAGTATTTTATTATTGGTTAATTTTAAGATTTTCAGATTATTGGAAAGAAAACTTCCAAAGTGACACATTTCAGTGTTTTTACCATTTTTTAAAAACTTTTTCTATCAGATACGTGTGCGAATATGTGCATGTTTAATTCAATAATACTTCATTTTTCCATATTTAAATTCAAGTCATCAATCAACTGACAAAGTTTCATGACAATATGTGTTA